TCTCTACTAAATACAAGAAAGAAAAAATATACATGCAGGTGTGGTGGTGCATGCCTGTAATCTGAGCTACTTGGGAGGCTGAGACAGGAAAATTACTTGTACCTGGGAGGCAGAGGTTGCAGTGAGCCAAGATCGCGCCATTGCACTCCAGCCTGGGCAACAAGAGTGACCCTCCGTCTCAAAAACAAAAAAAGCTCCAGTTGGCCAACTTATCTTTCTCATCTTTCAATGGGTTTTGTCTTTTTTGTGTTGATCTAGGAATTGTTCCCTTGAGTACGCGGGAGAGAGAACAGTTAATTTTCTAGATAGTTTGCAGCATAGGGTAAAACAAAAATGTGCTTTATGTTACAGATGCCTGAGTGCTTTTCAAGATGGCGTACACATGTGCTGGATATTCACGACAATTTCTATTAGTACCATATGAATCATGTATCATAATAAATAAATGCAGCCGAGTCTCTTCAATTTGGTTGCTATTTGCAGAAAGAATCCAGATTCATCCTTACAGGGTGAACCCAAAATGTGCTTTATAGTTAAGATACCTGAGTATTTCTCAGATGGTTAACATTTTACGGACGAACGGATTGGCCTTCCCCAAATGCATGTTTAATTGTCCAGGGTTTGGGGACATTAGCATGAAAATGAATCTTTCATTTGGTAGGATGACAAACCGTCACATGCCTGCATATGTGGGGGCTGAGTGTTTGCGGGCACACTTGTGGGTAGGCATGTACAGACACACACGTGAGACCGTTCCTGCGAAGTCCCCGCTACCACTTCCTCTCCTGCAACACACAGCGCATTCTTAATTCAAACGACGAACAGCATGCTGCCCTGGAAATGTGTGGAAGATAGAAACGCTTTTACCCTGCGCTACCTTTAAGAAAAGACTTAAAGTTCAAGTACACAAAAACTGTCATGTCAAAAAACACACCGGACAAAACAATTTGCTGTAAAGGTTGTAGGTGGTCCAGTGAAAATAGTTTTTGGTTAATCAATAGTTTTGAGGTACTGGTCATTGAATGTATTGTGAAATTCGTGATTTGCTGTTTATTAAGAACTGATTGCCTTAATGCGCCGTGATATCTGTTGAATGACTGATTGGCTCAGTGCTGTCTTTGCAGACTGTCCCTAGCTGGCGGTTTTGGACGACTACGTGTGAGCATGTGCAAAGGCATGAGCCAGGGCCGAACTTGACCCTCTGGCGTTCTCGGCCCTGGTGGTCTGAGTACCTTTGGTGCTACGGGACTTGTTTCCAGAATGGTGGGTCACAAAGTACAGCCCAGTAATTTAAACCTCTGAAAATAATAACAGCCACAATGAAGAGCCCTACTCTAACATGTGGCTGGGAAATCCTAGCTGAAGAGAAGTGGAATTTCATTTTTTTCTGGCCAGGTTTCTGTGTTCAGTTTTGATTTTCTTGGACAAGTTTGTTAGAATTTTAAACAATCATTCAAAAGGAGAAAATTAGAATGTATTTTAACCGGCAGTCATATACCGTGTTTAACAGAGCATAAGACTAAATACAGAGGCGATGTGAAATATATTTTTAAATGAAGTTTCAGTTCTAAGAGATTTTCTGCTCCATTGGTGGAGACAGTGAATGCATGTGAAACACTGAGTTGGAAATGGCCACTGTTTTTAGGTTTTAAATGTTGTCATTGGCTTCCTCCCTCCTCTCTGACATTTCCTTTCGTCTTAGGGTGCAGGAGAACCAGAACTCTGCCCTGGCCCATCACCTTCCTCTGTGTGGTATTGGTGGCACATGGTGTCCGTCATTTGGCCCCTGGCCTACAAGAGCTCACCTTGGAGAGGGACTGTGGCTAAGCGGTAGGCATTTCAACAAGCCCTGTTTTGTGCAGGTTAAGGAAAGGGAATTAAAAGGAATCCTCTTATAAAGTCACTGCTCAAAAATTTAAGAGCATCAAGCAAGAGCATTAAAACGAAAACTGATTTATGCTGGCATTGAACTTGGCTTCAGTACATGTGGCTTCTGGTGTGGGCCCTGCCATATATTAGCTGTGTGACTGTGGGGGAGTCACTTCACCTCATGGAGGCTCAGTTTCCTCGTTGGTAGGTGAGATAATTGTGAACACCTGCTTCAGTTGCAGTCTGCATCCCTGCAGTGAAACCAGTGACACGCTCCATGACAGAAGAGACTGTATGAAGGGTCTCCTCTCAGAGATGAGGGCAGGGTTACAGGAACTGACCAAGAATGGTGTAGCTTCCTGGGACCAGCAAGAGCAGGAAGCCTTGGGCTGAAGGGGTAGGGACAGGGAACTGTGAAGGGGGAGAAGTGTGGCTGTGGGGAACAGGCTGCCCAGCAGGAGCTATGGGCATAAGTAGACAAACACAGCCCCTTCCAAATTATGGCCTGGTAGGAATAGAGCCTGTGGGGCCAATACTTTGAACTTGTGATATATCAGAACGTGTTATGTACATCTCTTCCCAACACCATGTTCAGTGATGTCAGTAGCTTGAAATCCACCACGGTGGGAGTACTGATGCATGGAAATTGGCAGATGCCACTAAAAATCAGGTTTTTCTCTGAAGGGCTGGTTGTGAACCATTTAGGGGTACACCACTGCCTATATCCTTCTGCCCTTCTGATTCCCATTGCTAATTCCTATGGGATGAATCCAACCAGAGCCAAAGAATGGGCCGGGCGTAGTGGCTCATCTAACCCCAGCACTTTGGGAGGCCGAGGCGGGCGGATCACCTGAGGTCAGGAGTTTGAGACCAACCTGGCCAACATGGTGAGGCCCTGTCTTTACTAAAAATATAAAAACTAGCCATGTGTGGTGGTTGGGACCTGTAATCCCAGCTCCTTGGGAGGCTGTGGCAGGAGAATCGCTTGAACCCGGGAGACAGTGAGCCAAGACCATGCCACTGCACTCCAGCCTGGGCAACAAGAGCAAAACTCCATCTCAAAAAAAAATAATAATAATTAAAAAGAAAAAAAAGAGCCAAAGCATAGGGGACCAGGGGATACAGCCTTTACAGGTTAGACTCCAGGCTGCAGAATAGGGACTGGATAAAGAATGAATGGGAGAGGGGTATACACAGAAGAAAAGTAACCAGCACGTGTCTTAAGGTTGTCATGAAATTATAGAAAACAATGAATATGCAAGTACTTAGTAAACATTGAAGTGCCTTTCATGTGTTCTTCCTTAGTTTTGCTAAGTACGTTAGAGTTTACGGAGTATTTATGAGATGCTATGGGAGCACAATGCTGAGAAGTAGACAGCACTGTGCATCCTCTTCTGCCCTCCCGCTCCCCAGGCTAATTGGAATGAAGATAGGCTTATTCTTTTAAGAATTTGGGGAATTAAATGATCAAATTAAAGATGAAAGAACACCCGCTGGGGTGGCAGAGGCTTCAGGCTGTCCTTCGATTTTGCTTCTCTATCTCTTCCATGGTGATTAAACTTTTGGCTGGGCAATCAACCCACCAGGACAAAGCCTACTTTGCAGTCCCCTTTACAGTAAGGTCTGACCATGTGGGTGAAGTCCCGGCCCACGAGAGGAAGTGTTGTGTGACAGCCACCAGGAGCCTTCCTTAGAAGGAAGCAGCTGAGCCAGGTGGGGTTGGCCCAATATGATCCATGGGGTCACGCCCTTTCCCATCTACTTCCCTTCCTGCATTCTGCTGCCTGGAAAGTAGATGCCATCTGGTGCCACAAGATGACAGCTGCCCCCTGGGGCTGGTGAGAGATGGTAGGTGGGAGGGAGCCTCATCTCTGAGAATCCCAAACAGCAGAGCCGCCATATTGAGCCTGGACAACCTCTCTCTGGACTTAAATGTCTATCATGTTGAAGCCCCTGTTAGTTTGGGTTTCCTGTCCCGGTCAAATTTGATCCTAATCAATATAGTGCATCTTGGCAAGGCTGTGAGATGGCAGGCTCCCTTGCACTGCTGCTGCTGGGTGTTTTTCTTTACACCTGGGGTTTGGAGAGCAGTGGGCAGTGCCTGGTAAATACACCGTGTCCATTGCACTGGGTTTGTCGGCAGGCAGCAGAAATCCTGGAAGGGTTTACTACCCACGTGACAGGATTGCCTGGTTCAGCAGCTCCACAACACCAACAGATGCAGCCCACCGTCTTTTCCTCCTCTCTCTCTCCCATGTGGCTGTTGGCATCACAGTGCAGGAGGACCTATGCATCTCTGGCGTCACATCTAGGGGCCCGCCTCTGGCTCTTCGGTGCTGGCAGTGGATATGATCTCGTATCACTACTATGGCAACTCTTATCGGAGGAGAGGAGAGGGTGTAGGACACAATTCCCGAGCGAGAGAGCAGCTGGACAGGTTGTCCTGTACACGTTTACTCTCGTATTCACACGGAATAGCCAAGAGAATTGGCAAGACACAAACGTTTAAAAAAAGGAGAAAGAAAGAAAAGCAGAAAATATCTTACTGAGTAGAAGGGAGGCAGGACATGTGTGTCCAGGCCCTGAGAGAAATGCCAGATTTCAGGAGCAGCCTTTGCAGCCCTGGGGAGGCCAGGTGGTCCTTGGCAAGGCTTGGGAGCTCTGGAGCTGTCCCATGACCTTGCTGGGACTTCTGGCATCCCATCCATTGCTGTATGATCCTTGTTTCTTATTTGTAAAAGTTGAAGGTTGTCACGGAGAAAAAATAAAAACAGGTGACCGTTTAGTTTAGCACAGCACTTGGCGTATAGTAATTATTCATGGGTGTTACTTCCTTGTGGCCTCAATGCTGTGCCAGGCAGGTGAGAGTGGCTGTGAGTGAATCCTGAGGTTGGGCCTGAGATGAGACGCAGAGGCTGCCGCAGGAGATGGTAGGAAGCATGGTCCTGGGCGCAGCAGTGCCACTGGTGCAGACAAGGTCACACCCGGCCTGGGACGCAACTTATTTCGCTGAAAACTAACAGGTTGGAACATGTGACTGCCATGGTGGGCATTCAACTATAACACTATTGGTTCAAGAAGTGAGAGGCTGCAAAATGTTTGCCGTTACCCCCAAATCGTCTTGTCCTCACCTGTCAGCACTGATCACAGGGCTTCCTCAGCTGGGAACTGGTGGCTCTTTGCCTCTTACCCTGGGGAGTCACAGCTGCGAGGAACTGGTGGCAGGAATCCTCAGAGGGCTTGGAAGACTCCTCTACCCATTGTGATGGGTGAGCTCCATTCCATGACAACAATGGGCACCTGCACCTTCCCCTCCTGATAGAGGCTGAGAAGCAAAAATCAGGAACAAGGAGGAGGAGTGGCTTCCCAGATGTGTGGAGATTATGAAGCCATGGAGAGGTGAGGGAGCCAACCTCAGCCACATTCAGCTTCCTGGAGAGAATGGCCAAAGGGCGGCACTTCAATCCACCTTTCGACAAGGATGGGAGATGGGTAAGGAAGACAGTGGCCCCTGATACCTTCCTTATGCCACGTGGGTGTGGTCGACTCTGAGGAGTTCAGATCCTGCTTCTGCTATTACTGCAGCATGAACTTTGACAAATCATTTCACTTTTTTCAACCTCAGTTTCTTCATTTGTGAAAAGGGAATCCCCGAACACTCTTGGGAGGACTGAATGAAATAATGCATGTAAAATGCTCAGCACACTGGAAACTTGTGACTGTCTACTAAGCAGTAATTCCTGCTGTACTTTTTCTTTCTTCTGTATCGTCTATCTTCTAACATGCCACAGAACTTGTTCTCTTATGTGCATTGTCTCCCCTTGCTAGAATGGAAGCTCATGGAGCTGGCATTCTTGTCTATTTTATTCACTGACGTATCCCCAGTGCTTAGAACAGGATCTGGAGCACAGGAGGCACTCAATCAATATTTGTTGAAGCAATTATATTGTACTAGAAACCTCTAAAGAAATTCCTGTTGGCTCTCAATCCGATTCCTTAGCTCCTCCAGCCTATGAAATGAGAAGCGTCCAGGAATGCATCATTCACTCATATCTTCATCACTTGAAAACTTTCCCTTTCCAGCTACACGCTCTGCCCCAGCACTTGCTCTTCTGATGGCACTTACAGAGCCCATGGGATTTATCGCTCTTCTACCATCTTTAAGACACATTTGGGTCACTCCTAAGTGGGAGGTCGTAGCCGTGTCAGCCAAGCACTTCTCTCCTTTGCTCTTGAACATGTATATTTCATGGCTGACAAGTCTTTCCCATTTCTAATTTCTACAATTCATTCACAAAAAGAATGTGAAGGGGAAATCACAACAGTAGACTCACAATGAGAGAAATTGACACAATCATAGAAAAACCTGGTGTCAGCTTCTTTTAGGGCAGCAATAGTTAAAAAGTTATTAAAATTTTTATTTGTTTAAAAGAAAAACAGAAAAGACTTCAGCAAATTTGGGTCTTGAAAGCTTTCAAAAACTGACTTACTCACTTGGATATAACTTGGCTCAGTAGCTTAGTCTTTCTGAGTCTTAGTTTCTTTATCTGTAAAATGGGAGAATAATGTACCAAGGGTAGAAGACCATTGTGGGGGATTCATGATTAATTCACAAGCGCTTCGTTCGATGACTGAGCACATAGAAACCACTTAACATATATACGCTTTTGTATATATGTGTACACACAAATGTTTCACTCCACAAAAATTGAAAGCATGGAAAATGTACACAATGAAATAATACAGTATAAATCAAATAGAAAGTTATAATCAGTTTTATAAATACTTTGGAAGAAGAGGCTGAGTCTGAGAACACATATAGCATAGATATAATATTAGGTACGTATCTAGGATTATATGGTAGATATTTGGGCACCACATTTGACTCTGGGTACCCTGGCAGCCAAAGCAAACAAGCAAAATGGGAACTAATGTCAACTCCATAAAGCTAAGTGCCCATGAAGAGAAACGTGCAAGTCGCTCAGACTAAGTAGCTTTCCCTCTAGCTATTACCTATGTATCAGTTAGGCTTGTTAGACTGAATTTTATGAAAGCCTGACTAAAGTGACTACAGTGTCTTAAATAAATAGGGATTTATATTTCTAAAATAACAATGAAATCTAGAAGTCAGCCATCCCAGGCTGGCACAGCTGCTCAAAGGAGTCATCAGCAGCTCCCTCCTCAGTGTCCCGTTTTGCCATCCTTAGTGTGGGCGGATTCCAGCTCCAGGCAGGGAGTTCACAACTCAGGCAGGAAAATAAGGGGAAGGTCAAAGGACAAAAAGATGGAAGGCACCTGTCACCTAAGTCTGCCCCTTTTTATCAGGAAAACAATATTCTCCCACTTTCACAGGAGACTGCCCCCTAGACCTCTGCTTCCATCTCACTGAGTCACACGGTCAATTGAGCTGCAAGGGAGTCTGGGGAGGTGTTTTTCTAACCAACTACATTGCCACTCTGAACAAAGAACTAGAGTTCTGTAGTAAGGGAGAAAGTGAAAATCAACATTTCATAGGTAGAAATTTTATTTTGTCCTCTGTCAAGAGCCTGGAAACGTAGCCCAGTTCCTGGGTTTTAGGGAGAAAGGCACTGTTCCCCAAAGCTTGGCTTGAGCCTTTGGCACAAATCCTTTCTGCTGTCAGCACCTAAGAGTATATAAAGAATAGTGCTGATCGTGAAGTTTCCCAAAGTAACTTGTAGACGAGGAGGGAAAAATTAAAGAAATTGTTGGCTTTGAGTCAGCAGTAGCCCATTCGGGAGGACAGTAATTTCCACATTAGAGGTGACAGTCATTTTGCAGTTGACCTTGCTGGTTGTAATCTAGCTATTGCCAGGTAGGAAAGACTTTTTCCACACACTTTCCTCTTCCTGTTTAATATTTCAGTCATTGAGTGATTGAACGCAGCAAAAATTTCACCGCCAACTAGTTAAAAAGCTATATTTCACGGTTACAATATCTAACAGAAGGGTTTATTTCACAGCTCTCATGTTATAGCCATTAAATATATATTTTAAAAGAGTGAAATTAAAATGCTAGAGCCTTTTTTTTTTTACAGTGATTTAGTCTACAGACTTGCTGAATACAAATGAACCCAAGTCAGTTGTCATTTAACTGGTAAGAGCCATCATTCTTGATGTTAGAACAGCCTCCCCCCAGCCCTCAGCCTGATTTTCCAGTTTCCCAGAGAGAAGTGTTGACTCAGTCAGACTGGAGGAAGGGTAGAGGAAAAGGTTCAGAGACCAAAGGCCCTTTGTATTATTTATATTTACCTCTAAAAATATTTCTTTGGAAGATATTTTAAAAATAGAAGAATGAATGAGAAATCTGTAGGTTGACTTTGAACACATTTCTAGATTATATAGTTAAGAGAGGAAAGCAAGGTGCAAAGCAGTATGTATGATATAATCTGATTTTTGTAAAGCAGTGTAAGTCCTCTCACAGGTGCAAGTGTTTATATGTGATCCTATGAGCACCTGGTTAATGTTATTATCTGGGGTTGGGAGGTATGACAGGAAGCAAAGAAGAAAGCAACCAAAAGCTACTGAGAAATAACAAGGCAGGGGAGGGGCGTCAAGATGGCTGATTAGACGCGCTGCATGCCTGCCTCCCCCACTTATAAGAACCAAAATAGTGTGCAGGCTGGTAGTCACACTTTGAGTATGTTATCCAAGAGAGAATGCTGGAATTCAACAGAGAAGTGACAGGAAACACCTCAAGTGGGGAAAGAGAAAGGAAAAAGGCAGCCTGCCTGGCTGGGATTGGCTGGCAGCCAGGAGTGACTTCCCAGCATGGGGAAAGGGTAAGTGAGAGATGTCCAGTAGCCCACATGCCCATTGTAGAAAGGTACAATTCTGACTGGATGTAGTGGCTCATGCCTGTCATCTCAGCACTTTGGGAGGCTGAGGTGGGTGGATCACCTGAGGTCAGGAGTTCAAGACCAGCCTGGCCAACATGGTGAAACCCCAGCTCTACTAAAAATACAAAAATTAGCCAGGTTCTGTGGTGCATGCCTGTAGTCCCAGCTACTTGGGAGGCTGAGGCAGGAGAATCGCTTAAACCCAGGAGGTGGAAGTTGCAGTGAGCCGAGATTGTGCCACTGTACTCTAGCCTGGGTGACAGAGCAAGACTCTGTCTCAAAAAAATAAAAATAAAATAAAAAAAGAAATGTGCAGTTCTGGTCATGGAGAACTTCTCAACCCTTTCATCCCTGAAACTAACATAGAGAGACTCCTGGAGACTGTGGGATGGAACTGCTCCAGTGAGGAAGGTTGTGCAGGTTTCCTTTCTGAGAACCAAGCTGCTATAGCAAGGTACTATTTTCAAATCTAGCTTTTGGCAGACTGCACGCTGTCCTGGGGCCCACAGCATCTAGACTGGGGTATTATGGAAACTTGGGCTGTTGCTACCGGGACTGAGGAGTGAGCTGAGAGCACTTCCACAATTGAGGCTAAGAAGCAAGTGAGGCACAGGCTGCAGCTGCAGCTGCTGGTGCTGGGAAGTGAGCACTGCCAGGAGGCTGGGATGTGAGCGGGGCACAAATTGACACTGGGACTTAGTTGTCAGCCGGGGGGTGCCCCTGTGGCCAGAGGCAAGGGGGGTGAGCTAGGTGTGGGCTACTGCTGCCAAGGTTGGGAAGCAAGCCCTGACAGGACCGGAGCATGAGAGGGATGTGTGTTCCCCATGCACCAGCCCAGGCTGTGGCCACCAAAGACAAACCCTCCCTCCAGTGACAGGGCCTCAGCACAGCTGCTACCACTTCTCAGCCGAGAACTCCACCTGGGGCCTGCTCCTGCTCACGATGGCTGGTCCCTGCTGTCATAATTTGGGGGCCTGAGCATAAGCCCCAGCTTTGGCTCCTCTTCCATGGCAGAGCACATAGCCTAGGGTCCCTGGGCTTGCCCAACCCATACACCACCTTGAGTATGCTCCTCCCAGGGAACTCAGATTGGGCCTAAACTCCTGGCCACTACCATCTCAGCTGGCCCCTCTGTGTAATCACCACCTGCAGTCCTAGAGATTGGCCCGCCCAGCCCATCGCAAGCACTGCCAACATCAATGCACACCAGATATCATCCTGCCACTGCTAATGCCATCGCCCATGCCACACCAGCTGCCTAGGGGCCTGAGAACCCACCCACCTGCCTGGTTCACTGCTGCCACTACTGGTATCCAAGCACCTGGAGGCCCAAGAATTGGCCCACTAGGAATTGCCAAAACAGGTGCCA